CTGTGGGTGTTGCGGAAATGATTTTCCCAAAAGGGAAATTACACAAATACCCTCCCCAAAACGGCGTCGTTTGGGAGAGGGTATAAATACCCTAAAACCGGCCTAAAATGGCCATCTCCTCTCATTTTCGTTTTTCAGCTTCTCTCTCTTAGAGAGAGGAGCTCTGCCTTATCTCTAAAACAGAGAGGGAGACCATCGACCACCGTCACGGTGGTCGAAAAATCCCAAAATACCCCAAAAGGAGCTCTAAACCCCCTAAAGTCGAACCTAACCTTAGTTTTCCTTAAAAATCTCCTAATCGGAGTAAATCAAGAAAACAAATTGATAGTTTTTACCTCGGGTTTTACACAGTTTCCGACTATGCTTGGGCTTCCCGAGGGTAAGTCTTTTCCTTTCTTCTCTCTTTGTTTTCGATTCGCTGATATGGGTGTTGTTTGGCTCGCTGTTGTGGTCTGTTCTTCGTCTCTCCTCTCTTTTTGCTGTCGATTCTGTTTTGGTTGCTATGTTCTTCGTTCTTGCTCGCTGCCTTCTCCTTGTTTGCAGGTGAACCGAGGCTTTATAGCCTCGATGAGGCTCTCGTCGGACCGATCCCAAAGGGATTTCTCGGTGAGTCACCGAACTATGTGGTGACTCACCCCATAGCTGCGACGTGGACGGTCGTTAAGGTCTTCTGGAGGCTTCTGGTGAGGGCGGCAGCAGCTGGAACGTCGACGTGGGGCGGCTGGAGGCAGAGGCGGTGCCGCGTGGTCCCTAGGGTATCATCACCCTAGGGTTTCTTCTGGATGCGTGCTGGCCGTTGGATCTTGCCAGATCCAACGGCTGTGATGCTAAGGCGACTGGCTGTTGATGAGATGATATAAACCATGTATCATTAGGATTAGGTTTAGGCTTGGGCCTAGACCGTTTTGGGCCATCCGAGTTTTGTAAAATGGGCCAGATTTTGGCCTTTGTAATATTTATTTAATAATAATAATAAATAATAATAATAATAAATAATAATAATAATTATAATAATAATAATAAAAATAAAAACAAACTGAAAAATTAGTGTCTACACTAGTGGCATCATTTCAACATTTTGGTCCATGAATTTACGGGAATGGATGTCAACTGTGGCAACTATTTGAAGAACTACACCAAATCAGCTGTCAAAAAGAGAAAATTGCCTATATCTGAAATAGATAGAGCCCTCCGCAACCTTTTCTCTGTTAGAATGAGGTTGGGGCTTTTCAATGGCAATCCAGTTAACCAGACTTTTGGCAAAATTAGTTCAGACCAAGTCTGTTCCCAAGAGCATCAGAATCTTGCTCTCGAGGCTGCTCACAACGGCATTGTCCTTCTAAAAGAACAACAAACTCCTCCCATTTTCCAAAGTGAAAACTACTTCCCTTGCAGTAATAGGCCTTAATGCCAATTCTGCAAGAACACTACTTGGCAACTATGCAGGCCCTCCTTGCAAAACCGTTACACCTCTGCAAGGGTTTCAAAATTATGTTAAGGACATCAGGTGTCACCCAGGTTGTAATGCAGTTAACTGCTCTTATCCTTTGACTAATCAAGATGTGAAAGTAGCAAAAGGAGCAGTATATGTGGTGCTGATGATGGGATTGGATCAAACCCAAGAGAGGGAAGAACTCGATCGTGTAGACTTGGTTCTGTCGCCAAAGCAGCAGAACTTGATATCCACTGTCGCAAGAGCTGCTAAGAATCCGGTTGTTTTGGTGCTTCTTTCTGGAGGTCCAGTAGACATAACCTTTGCCAAATATGATAAACACATTTTAAGTATTCTATGGGCTGGTTATCCCGGTGAAGCTGGAGGCCAGGCATTAGCAGAAATCATATTCGGTGATCATAATCCCGGTGAACTCTCACTCAGAGCATGTATGCTAACAGAAGTCGGATGACATTCTTATACCGATGATAAATTTAAGAAAGTTATACGATTCATATATATTTCTATACAGGAGGGAGGTTACCAGTAACTTGGTATCCCCAGAGTTTCGTTAAAGTACCGATGACAGACATGAGAATGTGTCCTGATCCATCTTCAAGCTATCCTGGACGTACTTACAGATTCTTCCAAGGACCAAAGGTTTTTGAATTTGGTTATGGTCTCAGTTACTCAAACTATTCGTATGAATTTCTTCCAGTGGCACAAAACAAGGTCTACTTAAACAAGTTAAAGTCTCCAAAGGTTGAGCTTGAGAACTCGAATGCTTTCAAATACATACCAGTTTCAGAGATAGGAACAGAACTTTGTGATAACAGAATCGCTGTCACAGTTAGAGCTCAAAACCATGGGGATTTGGCCGGTAAGTATCCACTTTTTCTTTTTGTCAGGCGAGAAAAAGGAAGTAATGGAAGGCCAGTGAAACAACTGATTGGATTCCAGAGCGTTATTTTGAATGCTGGGGAAAGAGCTGATGTTGACTTTGAGTTGAGCCCTTGTGAGCATCTTAGCACAGCCTATGAAGAGGGTATGAAGAGGGTTTGATGGTTATTGAAGAAGGATCTTATTTCTTAAGCATCAGAGAGAAAGAATCAGGGGTCAAAGTCGACCTATGATAAAAAGAACTAGCTCCTCAAAACAGAGGAAATTTTACAGAATGAACCACTGTTGTCTATCTATAGTTCTGCTATCAAATAAAAAAAGCCATCTTGTCTCCTTTGAAAATCATTCTCTGGCAAAGTTATGAGCAATGATTTTGTATTCCCTACAATGCTTTTTCTTCATCTACAAAAATACGAACATATTAGCAAAAAAGCATTGCGGTAAAAGAATGAGAACCAGAACCTCAAAGCAGTAACCTTAGAAATCTGATGTGTCCAAGGTATCTGTCACATCACCACTCTGATTAAGCTATCACTCTCACAGCATTTTTGAGTTCTTGTTCACAAATATTTTGGTGATTGCCTTCATCAATTACCACTTCTGCACTTCCTCAATAGAAAAATCCATGGGTGTAGTCGAGTTTGTATGGTCGGGATATGAAAATGGTAACATGCTTGGATTGGTAAACAAATAGATAGCTTGGGTGTGATTATGCATGCTCTTCTCTTAGTGTTCAAGGAATCCATGTCCATTACGATCAAGTAGCAATATCCTGTCAGTCTAGACTTTGATTTGTAAATACAATCATACATTTGATAATTTTGTACAAAGCACAAAAACACAAAACATTAATAAATAAAAAGTGTAATAAACAGTGAGCTTTTCAGTTTTAATTGACGACACAGATCAGGTGGTGTTATGGGAGTTGTTCAAACCGAAGAGATAATCTGAAATTGTTGCTCACAAGGAAGCAAAAGAAGTCCATTACCTGCATTCAAGCATTGTGAAGATGACGCCAGCTAATCTTGAGATTCTTTTTTATAATGTCCAATACATGTATCTCTTGCCAAATATGGCCTTGTTGGAAACATTTGACCAGCTATCCAGGTAAAGCTGGAAGACTTTTGTTTTTGATAGAAATAGGAGGCCTCATTAAAAACCTCCCTCATAGTAGTCCTTTACCCTAAGGCAAGAACCGACTAGCGGAAGGAGGAAAGAGTACCTCAATATATTAATGATAAACCAATTACATAAGACTTAAACACACTCCCATTACACCTGTTCTCTAAAACATACACAACAACTAAAACAAAGCTTACGATCACCCAGTCCCCTCTTTTGCTAGCTTATCAGCCTCGCAATTACAACACCTAGGAATCCACCTCACAATAATCTCTTTAACAGAAACAATAGACACAATTTCCTTAACAAAATTTGTAAGAAAAATAGGAATGAAGCTGGATCTTTAATCCAATCCACTGCTAACTTGCAATCACTTTCAATATTGAGCCTACGCTTCAATACCCATTCTGAAGAGACAAAGAGGTCGTTGCCTTTTTGATAGCTTTCAATTCTGCTAGAGGGGGTGGAGTAGACCAACATTTTCTGAAAAAGAAATAAGAATAGACCGATTCCAATCTCTGAGAATACCCCAATTCCACCAATCATCCCAACGCTACTAACAGCCCCATCAGCTGGAGGACTTAAACTAGAGAAACCATCAATTTTGGTGACCATAACCCGGGTGATCTACATCTACATTGTACTAATAGGATAGCTCTACTTCCGAAACCAAGAAGCAAACAAACAAACAAACAAACTAGGAGAGGGAATTCATTACAACTGATTAATGACTTAATGGGGATACATGTTTCAATGCAGGCAGAAATCTGCCTGTTATTAGTTATCCACAAAGTTTCACAGAAAACTAATGACCGGCTACCCTGTCCGCACTTCAGATTTTATAAAAGGCCCAGAGGTTTTCAACTTCAACTATGGGCTCAGCAACTCAAATTGTTCCTACAAATTCCTCTGTGTATTGTTATCATAACAAAGCTCTACTTCAAACATTATTCCAGAAACCATATTAAACAGGAAGGCAAAACCTATCAGATCCGTATCAGTTTCAGAGATAGACACCAAACTCAGTGAGAAGATGGCTAGAAAGCATGCAGTGTTGCTGAAGGCATGAAAAGGGGGAAAAACGAACTTGAACTTAGCCCTTGTGAACACTGAGCACCTTAGCAGAGCAATGATGGATTGATGGTTACAGAAGAGGGTTCTTTATCTTGAATGAGGAGAACAAAGACTATCAGAATTAACATCAGAAGGGAAGAGGGGATTGAAAACTAATCCAGTCGATGACTAAAGACTCTCTAATTTGAGTAGCCAACAAGCTGTGCTTCACTAGATAGGAAATTGCAAATGGCTACAAGCCAAATAGATATTGCCTTGAGCACTTCATTCAAATATAAGTTGCAAACAAATTCATTCCAATTTCAGAAACAACAATCAGCTATGCAGATAACAAAATTATGAAACTAATGGGCACTCAAAACTAGCATCAGATTTTTGTTTTGCACCTAAACAGAAACTTTGTTTAAAGCGGCCCCTGAATTTTATAAGATTATATAGTCAAATCACCAACTATGTTAATTCTGTTTGCTCAGTAAAAATGTGGCACTGTGTGAATAATGCACAACACAGAATGTTTGGGAGGTATTCTAGAAACATCAACTTAAACCTTCCAATTCTAGTGTATTTGATACTATAACAAGAATACAAACAGAACCAGAGCACAGGTATATGCTATTAGAATATGAGATTCCCTAGCGACAAGCAATATGTGACACTTACTGTACTTCTGTTCCTTTGAAAGGTTGCAACAATAAAACCTGGATCATCCCTCACTTTCCATGTCATGGCTGGGATCGTTACCTCCCGGGTCCCATCAGGGTGAGTGTGGTCACTAAATTCATGTGTGTGAGCACTAAAAATAATCCTACATACAAAAAGGAAAGGGAGCAATTGATGTCACAACATAAAATGCACTTCCATGCCAATTCTGGAAAGCATTTTATTTAGACTATAGAAATTTCTATAACAAGAAGTAAAAAATCAGAGACAAAGACAAAGATGCAAATTTGCTTCACTTCCCAAAAGTTTATAATTTAGGTAGTTACTTTATCAACATTACTTTCGTGCCTGCAGCCATATGCAAAGATGCCAGTAGGGAATAATAAGTTCTATCATGTGATATTTGATTGCCCATAATGCAGTAATTCTCCAAAGATGCATTCTAAAAGATACCAAACTTGCTCAAAGCATATAATTATGCCCAAAAAAGGGGAAATCCAAATTATTACTGGTAGTCTGTAGTTGAGCACAGTTAAATAATAGCAAAAGCAAGAAGCGTACATACAATTAGGTAACAATAGAAAGTGCAAAGATAAGCTAGAAGAAAACTCCTTGCAGATTATATAATGGATGCTTACCTAGGTTTAAGAGCATTGAAAATGTATTCAGTAGCATTTGGCGGGACAGTTTGAGATGGATCATAAGGGTCGGTCCCATAAAAGCCTCTGAAGGAAAGTAACATTTAAAGAGTTTATTAGAATGCTTGGCAGCAGAAGTAAAAATAAAAAGTTACATAGTAAGAGTTCAGTTTACACATAGCCCAGAAAGTCTCTCTTCTATTCATAAGATAAAGGAATGACATCCTAATCGAGATCTCAGAACTGAACAAAATTTTGCTTAAATTACCATGTTTAACAACACTATTCACCTCTTAATCTCCCATGATCCCACCAATAAAAGATGGTCCTGATCATGATCAACCAGTAGAAAGGTACCTCAATCTATAATTACTTGGCCACTGGCAACTGAATATTAAGAGAGTGGGTTCAATACCATATCAAAACTGTCACAAACATGCAACTTTTAACATTGAGGAAATTATTTTATGAAAAAAACGGAAAAAAGGAGACTTTCTAAAACAACGATAGACTTGTAATATAGATTGCAGACTGATAAGATAATCTTACTTTCTCTTTGTTGAAGCTGGAACATTGCCTGATGGATCAATGATAGAGTTCAAAGTACTACCTTCCACTATATGGGTCTTTCCAGACTGGTACAAGGGAAAATGTAGAAGTAGGACAGGACCTGAACTGGATTTCATAGCATTTACTCTCCCCCTAAAGTCATCAGACAGTTCCCTAAGCATGCCAAAATCATTTTTTGCTTCATCCATGCCTTTTATTTCCATTTGCAGATCCACACTTTCCCTTTCTATTACCTTCTCAACATCAAATCGAAGTTTATTGATACCACAAAGCAATGCTGCAGCATTAAGTGAAACAAAACTGATATTGCTAATTTCAAAAGCACCACAACCAGATGAATCCAGCCCTGGAAAATTCCTAGCTATCCAATTAACAGAATTTGTACAAAGACCACTACACTGTCCGATATCCCTATCACCAAGAATAACATGCAAAGGGATGTCAAGAAACGGACCCAACATGTTATGAAATTGATGAATCACCGATAACCATTTTGTTCTTGACAACTCTGACCCTTTTGCAGAAACATCACCTAAGACTAGTAGCATATCAGGGTTCAAACTCTGGAAAGATTTCTGCATTGCATATCAGCAAATAATATCAATATCTTAAAGTTCAAGTTTCAAAATAAAAATAATAAAATACACACACACACACACACACACACACACAAGCAATGCTTTAATGGCTAAGAATTATAAGCTTATTCTGTGACTAAAGACGTGTAAAATTATATCGCTATAGAACAATTACATTTAAATTACCTTATAGTTTAACTATTTCCTTTTCTTAATCAACATGATTCAGATTTTTCTAGCGTCTCTTTGCATCTATATATAATATAAGCCAATGGCAACTTCACACCTCCAATCCAACAATGCCAAGTCATGTTTCGAAACAAAATATATCATTCCCCAAAAGAATTCGATGAACCCAGAAAATAATTTCGATAGAAAAGACAATTATCGCTCAATGCATGTGAAATAAACCTCTTAAAAAATGTCAAACAGCTAAAACTAAACAGGGATTGCAAATAATTGACCTTGAAAAACTTGGACATGTAATAGTCTCTGAAATAGAGGTTTGCTAAACCAGCTTCAGAGCCGAGCAACAGCAAGTCAGCAACCATCATAACCTTGAGATCCTCAGGTGAATCTTCATTCCCGACTTGTTTATCGGGACTGTAAGCAGTGCTCGGCAGGACTTTGCAAGAAGGAAATGACACCCACTCTTCGTATATGATGAATGAGGAGATTATAATTACAGGCATCAAAGACCTCCAAGTAACTGAGACCATTTTCTTTGGTTGGTGTTTGGGCGAGGAGGGATTATATGGGTTTGCCATTGTCAATGTTGTTGACCTCACAACCCATTGAAAGAACAATAATGATTTCGGTGAGTTAAGGGTAATAATCAAGATAAACCCAAAACTAGTTTTAAATCCCTCACTGCCTTAGGGCTTACAATTTTCTCAATGTTTATTACAATTTTCTCAATGTTTATTATATAATTAAAATGGAAAATTATGAATAATCACCCAAACTATTAAATGGCTTGCTTTTTCTCTGTCGGCGCATATTAGCATGTGTAATGGGTTTTGAGACTTTGCTTCTTTCTTTTTAACCTGCATGCTATTTCTTTTGGGTTGTGATTGGAATTTTTACTCTGATCGTGCTTATGTTGGATTCGTTGTGTGGTGAACATACTGATTGGATGAAGCTTTTCGTGGCTGCATAAGAACAAACGTTGAAATACTTCCCCACGAAGAATCAGGATGGTTCGATTACTGTGAAGTCTCTTTCTGATGTCTTTGAGGAAGACATTTCAGAATGGAAATATTCATTGGTGGGTCAATTTATTAGGTATGCTCCGAATTTCAGTTCATTAAGAAGATTGTTGATATACTTTAGGGGAAATCTCGCCAGTCAAGGTTAGTCTGGCTGGTCATGGTCTTTATGTCTTATCTTTTGGTAATTCGACTGCTCGAGATTGGGTTCTTAAGAGTGGGCCTTGGCACATTCAGAACAAGCACTTATTCTTGAGTAAAAGGGAATCAAATCTTAGTAAACTTTGATTTCAATCTTGTTAAAATGCTTGTTTGGGTGCATTTATTTAATGTGGCCCTTGAGCTTTTCTCCGAACGTGGCCTAAGCTACATTGCGAGGGCCTTAGGTATCCTTTTGCACGTGAACTCAATCACTGCTTCAAGGTAGTGATTGGAGTTTGCTAAGGTTTGCATTTAAGTCTCTACTGAATTTAAGTTTCATGACTCAGTTGAGGTATTGTTAAAGGATTGATCCTCAATGAGGATTCGTGTTGAGGTTCCTTGGTTTCCTCCATATTATTTGGAGTGTAGGATGTTTGGGCATTCACTTAAAACATGCCCTAAAGTCGATATGGTGGTTGTTAATAAGTCAACTGATACTAAGAAAAGTAAGTCAATTGGTAAGAATTCTCATGTGGCTCTTCCTCTATTGAGGTGAAAGTTTATAGGGTTGTGAACTACAACCTACGAATGAGGTTTAGTGTTAGACATTTACTGCTGAGGGGTCTGTTGGTGTGGTATTCATACTTGATAATGTTGTCTTTTCTAGTGGCACAGTTAAGAGCTATAAGGGGGAAATTTAGCTCATCTTCTTCGAGGAGAAATAATAAGGTCAAGGAAAATGAGGATAGTGGCAAGGTTAACTTCACCAGTTTAAGAACAAGTTTGTTGTTCTTGCTAGTATTGGAAGTGAGAGTATTTCTCTATCTCCTGAGGTTCCTTCTTGAAAATCAAGAGTTGCTTCACTAGGAGTTGTTCATTTTCTTCATGAAATGAAGGCCAAGAAGAAGAAACACTTGGAGAAACTGGAAAAAGCTATAGAGCTTATGGGCAGTAGTGTTGGAAGTCATGATCTTAATCTATGAAGATCTACTTTTGGAATGTCAGAAGATTAAATCGTCCTCAAAAGTAGGGTAAGTTCTTGCATAGGTTGATGTTCATGATAATGTGTATTGTCTTCTTGAAACTATGACTAAAGAATGTAATGTTTGCTATTCTTGCCAAGAGGTTTGGGGATTCGAATGTAATCATTTTGTTGCTATTAATAGTCATATTTGGATCTACAACAAAGATGATGTGAATGTTGTTAGTTGTTAGGTTACTGAGCATGTTATAACTTTTAAGAGTAATGTTTGAGGGTTTGATATTTATGTTTCTACTATGTATGGTAAGAATTTTGATACTGAGCGTAGGGAGCTTTGGTAGGATCTTAGGAATGCTAGAGATATGGTTGGATCTTCTCCCTGGATCATTAGAGGAGACTTTAATATTATTGTTTCCCCCATAAAAGTTTATACTTTGATGGTTCCCCTCTCCATTTCCAGTATGAGATATTGGAATTTCGAGACTAAAGTGAGGATTTGAGTTTGTTGAATCATTTGTATGTGGGTTTTCATTACACTTGATCTAATAGACAAGATGATCACTTTCTGGCAAGGAAACTTGATAAGTTTCTCATCAATCCCTTTTGGACGATGGCTTTTACTAAGTTCCTTGTTGAGTTCCAGGAGCCTCGGGTGTCTAACTATTGTCTTGCTTTAGTTTGTCTTTTGAAGGATGTTCTTGCTACCAAACCAAAAAGCTTTTAAATTCTTCAACTTCTATGTTGAGCATTATGCCTTATTGTCAACGGTGGCTTCATCTCCCCTTTCCTTAATTCAGAAAGTTTAGAATTATTTTGTGAACCTTATGAAGTTCAATGACCAACTTGAGAATTTAACCCTTTTCCTTAAATCAGAAAACCCTACCCCTACTCAATTACATCTCCCACTACTCTCTTTCTTTTTTTTTTTCTATTTTAAAAACCCTAGCACCGTACCCTTATTTCTCTCTTCATCATCGTCGCCTTTTACTTGCTTCGTCACCGTTAAACACACAAGGTAAGTCGTTGGTCATTGCTTGTTTTATCCTCGTCGTCGTCGTTGAGCGATGTGGGAAAAGACCGCGACCTTAGCTCGTGAATCTCCATCGTCGCCGTTCATGGCTGAGTTCGGGGATGTGTACACAGAGAATGATCGCGCTGACCAAGAGAGGGTTATCCTGGACACCGTTGGTCGTACGGGGCCTCTATGGTTCCATTTTGTGCTTTTTTCCCTTTGCTGTCTTCTTCCGTTAGAGTTGCTACCGACCATTTTAGGATATGACAAGGTCGACCGTGAATCTTTCATTTAGTGGATATGTTGTCGGTGCATCCTCTTCACCGACAGCCTTGTTTAAGCATTCTGACATATTATTATATTTAAACCAAAGCTGTTGTTGGTTCCCCGATCGAGTCAGAAATAATTTTAATTACGTCATTGAATATTATTTCGTAATCTAAAATTATTGAATTGAGTTTTTGAAGCAGATGTCATAATTTTTGTAGGATACATTGATTTGGAACTGGAATTACTACCTCCGCCACTGCTATCGTTACCCTCAAACTTCGAATTAAACCGTATTTCTCGTTTAGAACAAATTGGTTCAGGTCGAACCACTTCTCGAGCTGATCATGATAGGCACTACGACCGACGTTAGTAATTTAGTTGAGGTATGTCTCTGTCCGGTCCTATATTATGTTGTGTTGATTGATTGTTTGTCTGACTGAAAAATTGATTGAAACATGATTGAATTGTTGTATTGTTGAATTGGTTACAATTGAGATAAACATGTTGATTGAAAGTTTTATTTTGTGCATGACGGATTCTATGATATTGTGATATCTGATATAATTCAGAAATGCATGTTATGTGAAATATGTTGAAAAGTCAGATTGAAAATTATGAGGTGCATTCGTATTACTTGTATTTGTAATTAATACACTTGGATCATATCAGAATTCAGATATATGATATATGATATTCGAGTATATGTTATTCATATATGTGTTACTCGAGTCGGATCGGATTGAATATCGAATATGTGCTCCATTTGCATATCATGTTGGGATGAATTTTGATAGGGAAAATTTAGTGCATTCACTTGACGGGTGAATGTCACTTTTTCAGATTTAGTGGCATCTGCATTTGTGGCAGACCTCACTTATATGGTGTGAGGGTTGAATTTAGTGCGGTTATGGGGAACTCACTCTTTTGGGTGACAGGAGTTGGGGCGGGTGCATGAACATTTGCATATCATTTGAATTGTGATTAATGTTGTTTTTAACGTATGAATATTATTTCTTACTTCGGACTATGATATTACTTGTGTTTGGTTACACTTTAGAGACACACTAAGCTTAATAGGTTACACCCCTATAGATTCTTTCTTTCAGATACTCATATATAGGTGAATCAGTACTTGGAAGGTTTCGTTATTTATTTTCAAGCATACATTTATTTACAGTACGAACTTTATTTGATATTTCTCTTTTTTAGATATTTATTATTTATTTTTTTAATTATTTTCATTACTTGTAATTTTGGACATCTGATATTATAATTATTTTTGAAACTGTTTACGCATATCTTATTGAATATTTATTATTTACAGGGATTTTTCTTGGATAATTTTTTAATAAATTATAATTTAAACTTGAATATTTCGTGAGAGGCAAGTTTCAATTGGACTCTCTAGATTCAACCTAATTTCTTTTTGGTCAAGTTTAGGGGGTTACATTTGTGGTATCAGAGTCCGGTTCAACCCTCAGACTGAGGAGCTCAACCATAAAATTTTTAATTAATTTTTTACATGCATAAAATATTTTCGGGCTAAAATAAGAATATTATGATTAAAATATTATTATTATTATTATTATTACTTTGCCTTTTTTATTATCGTTCTTTTTATTTTGAAAATAGTAAATAAATAATTTAATTTGAAAACTCCAAGTACCAACTTTCTATGGCACCTCATAAGAATTCTCATCGAGTTACCAGTCAAAGTTGGGGTTGTATCACTACGACTAGAGTTAACCCTCCACTCCAAATGGGTCAGACCCAAAATTCGAATGAAGTTGATGAGACCGAGAGAGTTGGGCAACATGTGGATCGGACTGGAGTTCAACAGACTAGAGGTGAAAATCCGTCTGCACATCAGACTCAGGGTGATGATAATGTTGTGGTGAATCAAAAGTTATTTTGTTATCTTCGTTAGACTGAGGGTGTTATGAAACTCATCTCAAACGAATTCTTAGCTGATAAGATGATTGTGTTTGTGGGTAAGATTAGTATTGATCCCGCTAATGTTGAGTATTAGCTGAAGAAGTTGCATCAGTTGTTTGAGAAAATGGATTATCCGATTGATCGTATGTTGAGAGTTGTTGTATCACTGTTAGGCGGTGAAGCTCGGGATTGGTGGGAATCTGAGCAGGATAACATTCCGGTCGGACATATCACTTGGGAGCATTTTTTCAAGTTTTCCAATCGTTATGTGGGGACCGAGTGTTTAGTAAAGTGTCG